CCAAACAAAAACATTTTCTCCTAATTTACCGATTTTATGTTCTACATCACGAATTTTAGTAGTCATTGTCGCCTTTTGCCCAATTCTTAATAAATTTTCGTTATTGAATATTAATTCTCCACCTGCCCACATACGTCTTAAAAATGGTGCAGGCGGTGAATATTTAGTTTTATACCCATCATAAGACAATTCATGCTCATAATCTTTTGGCAAAAAATAGGCCAAATGATAATTTGGCGGAAGTAATGTTTCAACTGGTGAAGTCTGAGCCGACGGAATATTATCAATTATTTCTTTGCGATTTAGAGTAATCGAAAGAAGTTGAAGCAGTGTTGCCACGAGAGTATCTTCCTGATTATCAATTATTTTAGTCACTTTTGATTTCCAAGATACAATAAGAGATTTATATTGATTATTATTGAGCTGCAAAGATGTAAAAAATGTGCGAGAGAATTGCGGATTACATCTGAAAGCAATAACCGAACGATTTAAAAGATTCATAGTCCTAGTTGAAACGATAAAAGGTTTAGAATTGCTACTGTTCATAACTTATTATCAAAGAAAATGGACTAAAGTGAGTCATACAGTGATCGGTACATGCGTATACAAGATATATTGTGCTACCCTTCAAATAATAAAACTGCAAAAATGAGTATTGGACATGTGTTTTATTATGGATATTGTGAGCAGTGCAAGGAATCACTGCGCTGCTTCACTGTACAGTACTATAGTTTTTCTGAAGGTTATACGGTCAAATTCACAGTTACAATTACAAACAATATTGTGAAGTAATTTTATACGATATATTTTTCAAAAATATAACAGAATTATTTTAATAAAGTGCTTTTTTTTTAGTAACGGTAACGTAAATTTGACCGTTTTAATTTACTGTATTACCTTCAGAAAAACTATAGCACTGTACAATAAAGCAGAGTAGTGATTCCTTTCACTGCTCACAATATCCATAATAAAACATGCTCATTTTTGCAGTTTTATTGTTTAAATGGTAGCATAATATACGCATGTACCAGTCGCTGTATTCGACTCACTTTAGTCCATTTTCACAATTTACGCAAATAAATTTGGTACTGTAAAATATCATTTTAGGGTTAATTAGTCAATATCGGGAAGCACCTTAGAAATAACGATAAGAAATTTAATCATAATTCGGGCCAACCGGCCTAAAAATTAATGTAGAAATTTCAGTATGATCTGCGACATTAACGACAAACTTTTTAAGTTTCTAATTGTAAGACAAATAAATTACAAGATATGCCTTACAAGGAATTAGTTTCGTGCTCACTATATTTCGGATAGGAGATCTGCAACTCCGTTACAACATGCATAAAAGCATTAAGGTGTCCTCAATAATTACATCATTGTAAAAATTATCTATCTAAGCATGAAGTTTAACACCATCTCCCCCGAAGTTGC